TGCATGGATTATCTCGCTTTAGTTTAGAAGTTACACCCTCTCTTGTGCCTACCATGACAGATGCGCCATCTGTTGCCAGCCCCATCAAATTTTTTTATGCCTAACTGTGATGAGAGAAGCTCCTCTTTGAGCAAGTCATAGATTGCCTGTGCAGTAGCTGCATCATGTTCTTTTAGCACATTCTGGGCAGAAAGAAAACTTGTCTCGACTGTTTCACTTTGAGTGCAAAAATACTGGACAAAAGTTATTAACTGAGAGGTGACACTAACATCTGTCATCTCATCAGTCATTAATCCAAAACAGCTTGCTGCTCTAACATTCTTCAAAGTAAGTTCTTTTACAACATTTCCAATTGTCAAGAAGATTTCAGTCAAAGACCCTTCAGATCTATGTTGAAAGTATTTGATTTCAGCCACCTCTATCACATATGTTATAAAATTAATAAGTGGGAAAAATTTTCTGTTTGGCAAGTACTCTTTCATTACAAAATAAGCTGTTGAAAAGGCTTTCTCTAAGACTGATATTTCGGTTTCTTCTTTCTAAACAAACTCTTTGTGGAAAACAGACATTCTTGAGATCATCTCTGCTTCTAAAGCACTCTTATGACGCCCTGACTTCCTGTGCGTTTCAATAGCCTCTGACTTGAATCGGTCAGACGCTACTCCAGAAAATTAGTCAGTTTTGTTCTGGGGATTTGTAACTCCCTGTTTTTTACAAATGATACAAAACATTCCTTCCCCCTCAACATAGCAAAGCCACCAGTTGTCGAAATTTTCCACCCAGTCATGGTTAAACTTCTTAGGCTTGATTCTTTGCAATTCCTGCTCAGTGAGTTTTGAACATTTTTTGAAACAGGTATAGTAGTTGTGAAGTTTACCTTGAGTGAAAAACTCTTTTATCAACACTTCACACTGTACATGTGACAACAGAGGATGGATGTTTGTGCTTTCGGCTGTTTTGTCTTCTTCATCAACACATGCTGCTGAATTACTCGTAGTGGGAATCGTTGGTGTTTGCCGATCGCTGTTATCGGCAGTTTTCTCACTTTCATCAACACGTGCCGCTGAATTACTCGTCGTGGGAATCTCTGGTGTTTGCCGATCGCCCACATCACCGGCTGTTTTCCCATTTTCATCAACACGTGCTGCTAAATTGCTCGTCGTGGGAATCGCTGGTGTTTGCCGATCGCTATCACTGGCTGTTTTCTCACCTTCATCTACTTGACTTTCCGTTCTTCGTGATTTACAGAAATATCGATCTATTCCAGGCTGGCTTGAAGTGGGTTTTCTTTTACTCATGGGTACTCTATAATTAATTACATAATAAGAATTCCTGCCTTCGTTTACGCCGCACGCCACACCACACTTGTTGACAACAAACACCGGTCAGCGGAATTTCGCAGAAGGTAGGAGGCGCGCATTGGCACTGCGTAAATAATTTACGCAAAACGTATAATTTATACGTTTTGCTGCTGAAAACGGTCTTCAGGTATTACTCGTTCCATTCACGCGACTTTTAACTTTGAAATCTACGTGAACATACAAAATAAGGAGGCAAGCTTATCACCGAAAAGTAGGCTGCTCTAAATTTAAAGTAGCCGGTTTTTTAGCCGGCTGCCGGCACTTAATGAGAACCCTGAACTGTATTACTTACTTAGAAGTGCTGATGTGTGAATTTGGATTTTCAATATCTTGTATGTTTAGTCAGTACCTCAAAATTTCTGCAGATCTCTATGTTGTTTTTTCATTTTGTCAGCTACTGTAAAAAAAATACTTGAGATAGCTGAATTTTGATTTCACGAAATTTAGGATAAAATAATTGACAGACCAACAAGTGTCTAGGAAGGGGACCTTCTAATTCTCTAGTTTATTCGGGAAAGCCTCCAGCTGAATTCTATTGTTTAAAGCTGATATTATTCATTAAATCTTAGCGCTGTGCACTTTGTTGGCCAAATATTATCTATCTTTGAGCTGGCTGTTGGTCATTAATCTGTATAATACATGGGGAAAGACCAAGTATTTGCATAGAAGTCGGCCTTCTGTTCATAGAATGTGTATTACAAATAGTTGGTGGTTTATTATTTAATTTTTATTTATTCCTTTGATCCCATTAAGGTGACCAGCATCTTATTTCTCCTTACAACATCACTGTTGGGTCACAGATTAAGGTTATGAGAATAAAGGAAATGATCACCAACTAAAGAAGCTCTTGGTTGTTACACAAATTCTCCTTGTCAGTGCCTCAGGAGATGTATAGAGAACAGTATGAAGAATATTCATACTGATATTAGGGTGTAAAGGTTTACGTTTGTCTTTTTTTACTCTCCAGGCTTTTGAGGAGGCAGCCAAAAGACTTAAAATGGATGAGGAGGATAGAAAGAAAATGGTGAGAGATTTTGAACTATCAACTGTAATTTATTTTTTTTAATGTTTGGCAATATACTGAGCTCACTAGTAGTGCTGCTAAAGTAATTATTTTGTCCTATTGGCAGATAAGGTAGACAGTTGTTGGAACTTCTGAGTTTGACAATAGATATTGAGCCACACTAGTTAATCTGGTTCATAGCTAAAGGAAAAGTAATGTTTATCTCATTTCACATAAGGTTTATTTTACAAACTGCATTATCTTTTCAGGTTCCTGATTTAAGGAAAAAGTCTCGCCGAGATTATGTCAAAAAACGGCGGGTGGACAAGCTTGAAATGCTTAAAGAGGACATTCTTGATGATGAATACTTGTTTGAAGATGCTCAGATTTCAAAAAGAGAGAAACAGGATCAAGAATATAAGAAAAAGGTTTACCATTTAGCAGTAGAGCATGCCAAGGCTGGAGAATTGGAAAAAGTACAGAGATATGAAATGCCACAGGAAAATCAGAAGCCTGCCAGATATGATGAAACCACAGTGGAAGAACTGGGACCTAATTATGAGCAGAAGAAATGGGAGGAGGACAAGCTTGGTTATGCTGTCATGAAATTTATTGCCAAAGATGCATGGGACAAGAACAAGGTATGCAAGGAGGAGAGTGGGGCTAATTGATGTTCCAAGACTCAACGAAAGTGAAGTTTGTTTATTGCAATGATGCATCTACATTTTAATGGCCTTGACAGCCTGCATGTTTGAAATGATGCACATGTAAAATATATTTTGCAAAGTGGCCAATAGTGATGTTATTTAATATCTACTTTTTTTAAACTTCTTATTTTCTGCACACGTAGAATAAGGATTATGATCTTGTTGTGGATGAAGATCAGATTAATTTTGTAATGGCTGAACAGATTCCTGGGATAAAAGAGAGGCAGGTGAGATCTATAGCTAAGCAGTTCTCTTTATCTTGAAAAATATTTCATTACCTAGAAGTAATAAGAAGAGACAAAGATTTCAGTTTTGTTGTTTTGTATGGTTGAATTACAGGAACCAGAAATGAATGACTATCAGAAGAAAAGATTAACAATTGAAGAGGTAATTGAAATCTTTAATATTATATGAAGCAGTCTTTTGTGATTTATCAATTGGTTTGAATGCTTCTTTAAATGAACTCACTGGATTACTGACTAAGTGGAATGTGCATGTCAGTAATTGTTGTTTTGTTAGGCAACACTATTTTGTTGAATGTTTACAGACTAATTCTACAGACTAACTCGATTTTGTTATGTATGCGCCACGTATGGCCGCACCGTGAAGCGCTCCTTAAATTTTTATCTTTTTAGTAGTTTAAAACTCTCCTAAATGGCTCAACCTTGCAAAAGACCAGTGCTAAACAACCTAGCTAAGTCCTTGTGGCCACGCTATCGTGGAAAGAGAGCTGGGAGATCGACAAAAGCCAAAGAAGCCAATCGTATTCACAACATTATACAAGCCAACCCGAGACAAAAGGACCACAGCAGAGCGAAAATCAACTCACGCGGCCACAACCCGTCGAATTGTATCTCCATCACCACCAAATTCACAAGTGCACCAGAATGGCAAGCAAGAAACTTTGTCCCATCGCTGTTCCTATCAAATGTGATGTCGCTTGCACCAAAAATTGATGAAGTAAGCCACGTTGTTCATGTT